GCCGCGCCTCCCCTCGCGGCTCACACCCCCTGCCATGGGTCGCCCCTGCCTCCGCCGGCCGGGCCCTGAGCTCGGCAGCGCCCGGACCGTCCTCCCCCGGCCGGCCGGTCGTCGCGCTCCCCGGTCCAGCCCCTCTGGTTAGCCCGGCGACGAGAACGGCCGCCTGCGATCAGGCGCCGCGGAAGACAGCCCTGCGGGCTGGAGGCGTGACGAGGACCGCGGCCGCGCGGCAAAGGGGCGCGGCGACTGTGACTACTGGCGGCAGAGAGCACGGAGAGAGCCAGAACCGACTCTGAGTTCGAGTCGTAGCTAGCCGCTTGGGACGTGTCCCTGAAAACTCATGTTCCCGGCTGGAGTCACCCGCGCCGTGGCTGCCGACAGCGTGGCTCCGGCGTATTCTTGTTGCCGGATGGCCGGAGAGTGAGGCATGTCGGGATTTGTAGTTCGCACCCCCGAGGCGCTCATTTGATCAAATTACAACCTGTCAACGCAGCCTAGGGATTAGGACCCCAAGGAGTCCAGCTGTCAGCACCCTCTGTACTTGATTAAAAGTGTAATCAATGCACTTATCTTTCCCATATAAATTTTAGCCAGAAGTCTATTGAAAGAGACTAAGTCAAGCTGTTCTTAATTTTGCATCTGAGAGTCGAGTTCTTAATTGTAGCCTCTTTTCTGGCTTTTCTTAGGACACCTATAAATCGAGGGGCCTTACACACACAGTCTTTAAGTGGATCGTGCGCATGCGCTAACTTCCTCTTTTCCGGCTGGAACCATGGAGGTTGTCGAGTAAGTTGGTCTTGGTTCTCTCCGAAATCCTCCTCCATCCTCGATAGTAGAGGCCTTTTGTCTCTTTTCTTCCCCCACCACGTACTTTTGGCCACTTATCCATGTGATTGTGACGCTTTCTGACATCAGTGAGGACCCCCGGCTAAGATGAGATGCGGGCGGCCTTGGGGCGGAGGTTCTGGAAATAATTAGGAACGAGACGTGAAGCGGAATGTGTGCCAAACCAGCCGGTCGGGGGAGGCCCGGTCCTCGGTGGAACGTCTTCCCAGGGTTTCGCAGAACCTTAAAATTTTGCTCGGCTTTGACTAGCGCTTGGCCCGGGCTTCCGCCCGCAAGCAGTTGCTTTCGACATGTGGAGCTTGAGACGTGCACCGGAGTGGTGGTTGGTTTCGTTTTAATCTTAAAAGGATTCCAGGCCCTTTGAAAGTCGGTACCTTGTAGTACTTCTTTTAGGCCGGCTCCGATTTGTCCCCTTTGCTGTAGGTGTTTCTCTTTAGCTGTTGGAGGCTGGCACTGAAGTTGTAATACAGGTGAGGTCGTTCACGTCACGTTTGTGATGGCCACTGAAGCAAAGCGTGCTGGGAGTGCAGGTTATTGGCACGAAACGCCTCCAAAATTCATCTTACACCCAAAATAGTGTGCAGTACCAAGGGGTAGTGACAGGGCTGCAAGGTTTCAAGCTGTTGATGACGTTGCTTGCTAATGACAGGGAGAAGAAAAAGAAGGTTCCTGCTGTGCCAGAAACGCTTAAGAAAAAGCGAAGACATTTCGCAGAGCTGAAGGTAAAGCGCCTGAGAAAGAAGTTTGCCCAAAAGACGGTAAGTAAACTTGGGCGGTCCTTGCACCTAGGTAGACCTTGGACGGGAGTGAGAATAGAGGCAAGATTCTTAGAGCAGGACTTAACTCCCTGCTTGCTGAGCGGCTGCTTAGAGCTTCTTAACGTTGCGACTTCAGATGAGCGTGTCTTTGGGAATGTTACTGTCTGCTGTAGCAAAGGAAAAGTTCTAGAGAAAGATTATTAAAGAACTGGGGTTGCTTTTCGTGCTTGGGAGCTACACATCTGAGTAACTGTTGATGGGCTTTCAGCTTCGAAAGGCCCGGAGGAAGCTCATCTATGAAAAAGCCAGGTACTACCACAGGGAGTACAGACAGATGTACCGGACTGAGATTCGGATGGCGAGGATGGCAAGGAAAGCTGGCAACTTCTATGTACCCGCAGAACCCAAATTGGCATTTGTCATCCGGATCAGGGGGTAAGTTCAGTTCTTGACTGTGTTCTGGTTTTAAAGGGAAAATTCGAAAACTAGTGAAATATGTTAATTTTAGGAGCACTCCTCCCAAAACGTTTGAATTGCAATGCTTATGTGTAGCTCCAAAGGGGAGCAGTTTGCTTCAAAAGGGTCCAATGGCAAGCTCTGTCCCCAGTCTCCCAGCTAGTCTGTAAAAAAACACAGGAGGGGTGCAGTGTCCCTGCAGTTTTCAGAGATTAAAATGTACTCTTCGTGGTTTTGGGGGGTTTTTTTGGTCTTTTTGAGACAGGGTCTTGCTATGCAGTTCAGGCTGACCTTGAGCTCACATTGTAGCCCAGGCTGACCTCGAACTCACAAGGATCCTCCTGCCTCAGCCTCCCAAGTGCTAGGATTACGAGTGTGCACCACCACGCCTAGCTGTACTCCTCTTTAACAACGATGTCTACCAGAGTGGGAAATGGTAAAGAGAATCTCTTCAAGAGAGGCAAGCTGGTGGATGTGGTTGTTTAGCTAACGAGAGTAAAGGAAAGGCAAATACCAGTGATCTTGAGTCTTCGTTATGTGAAAGCGTTCTTAACCTATTTAAGGGCCTTGGCTAGGCTTTTTGGTCCACCATTTAATTAAACATTCTGATAAAAGCGGGTTAAATTTGTGGTCCTTTTGTACTGCAGTATCAATGGTGTGAGCCCGAAGGTTCGCAAGGTGTTGCAGCTTCTTCGCCTTCGCCAAATCTTCAATGGTACCTTCGTTAAGCTCAACAAGGCTTCCATTAACATGCTGAGAATTGTGGAACCGTATATTGCATGGGGGTAAGAATGCTTTTTCCTTTATTAGGTAAATTGGCTATATAAAGCAGTAGCCTTAATTTGATCACGTCTGTTTTTAATATTTTAGGTACCCAAACCTGAAGTCAGTAAATGAACTAATATACAAGCGTGGCTATGGCAAAATCAATAAGAAGCGAATTGCCTTGACAGATAACTCACTGATCGCTCGATCTCTTGGTA